GTGGGTTGGGCACGGCGCGCGGGCTCCGTCCGGTCGGGGTCGGGGCGGGCCGGGAGCTGGGCCCGCGGGGGACGGGGGCCGCGTCCCCCTGTCGTGTTCTCTGTCGGCGAGTTCGGGCGGCAGGAGGGACCCAGGCTCGCGGGGCGCGGGCCCCCACATCTCCGGCAGAGTGAGTGGGAAATTGCAGTTGGTGCTGTTCAGCACCTGCGGCAGAGGCGCGTGGGGTGGGGAGGGAGCGGGCCCACGAGTTCTTTTATGTAATTTAAGGTGTGGAGACTTACCTGCTGCCAAGTCTCAGGTCAGAGGGGGCTGGGCGCGGAGTCCCGCTTGCCTGGGCTAGATTCGCTGCGTGGTCTTGGGAAAATCCAGCCAATAAACTAGGTTCATGCGGTTTTTCCCACGGCTCTGCATAATAGCAATGGCAGCTAAAACTTACGTAGCGCTTACTCTCAAGTGCTTTACATGGGTACTCGTCACAGCAATCCTACAAGGTAGGTACTGTTACTATCCCCATTGTGTATATGAGGAAACCCGAGGTCCAGAAAGGCTAAGGAACTTGCCCAAGTCCACACAGCCAGAGAGGGGTGGACGCGGGATTGGAGCCCAGGCACCCCTGCTTCACCCTGTTAATCTCCGAGCACACCAGCTGTTCGTGTTTGCCAGTAGCCTACTCCCAGGAAGTAGGATGTGTGCTCCTGCACACTGGGTGGGTGCTCCCTGTGTGCTCAGGGAGCAGCCAGGTGACTGAGCTTCTTTTGGGTCCGTTTCAGATAGCCATCCGAGCTTGTTTCCTTGGCTTTGTGTTCGGCTGCGGCATGTTGCTAAGTTTTAGCCAGTCTTCTTGGAATCACTTTGGCTGGTAAGAAGTACTTCGGGAATAATGGTTTTGAGGTGGGGGTGGGAGAATCAGAGGGTCAGACGTGGTATTTCCTCATCCCTGTGTCTCATCTCTGACTGGCCGAAGGCTGTTTAGGTTTCTGTAAGGTCTCTAACTTCCACCTAGATTCCTATGTCTTGGACCCTAAGAACTTGAGCCCGCCGGTTGCTTCTGTTGCAGGCAGAAACAGGTCTCCCTGGCACCCGCCCCGTAGGTGCCCTCATCAGTAATGTGACGAGCCCTTCCCAGAAGAGGGTACAGGTCCTCGGTGACAGGAAGGGGCAAGGCTCTGGCTCGTCTTCACAGGCCTTTTCCATCTCTAATTTCTATTAGGTCACATCTAGTGCATCCCCCACGGCCAGTGTAGGATTTTTCCCTACACTATGATTTCAGGCCCTTGAGCCTTCTAGTCCCTGACCTGGATATGAACCAGTGGCTTCAAGGTAAAAAGCTTTATCTCCTGTTATCAATACTCTGAGCCATCTAATCCTTCTTTGCTGGAATTATTTGTTTTGTTGAATTTTTGTATTCAACATACATCACTGCTTTATTTTGATTATGTCCCACTCTCATACTTTACTGTGTGTAGTATCATTTTTAAAAGACTGTGAAAGGCCCATAATGCCTTCCCTACCTATGTTTGTTTGTTTGGTCTATTACATTCCACATGTAGTCCTTTTAAAACCCCACCTTCTGCAAACCTGAGCAGCCATGTTACATGTGGGTGCCTGCTGTCCACTCTCAGATAGGTAACAACGGGACCTCCTCTTAGAATTCAGGGACAGTTCAGCAGACCCAAATTTGTACTTTGAGTTACGGCTGACTTGATTCCCTTGCCCCAACTTACCTCTCTTTCTTTTTGTTTTTAAACAGGTATATGTGCTCCTTGTCACTATTCCATTATTCTGAATACTTAGTCACAGCAGTCAATAATCCCAAAAGTCTGTCCTTGGATTCCTTTCTCCTGAATCACAGTCTGGAGTATACAGTAGCTGCTCTTTCTTCTTGGATAGAGTTCACACTAGAAAATATCTTTTGGCCAGGTCAGTGTGTCCTCCTTTCTCCTCCGGAGGGGAGAAAGGTGGTTTTGTGCAGGCCTGAGGGCAGTGACGTGGGTTCACCTCTCAGCTATAATCTCCCGGAGTGATTTTCTGCAGATGTCTATCCTCACTAAGCTCTTTATAAAGGACAAGCAGAGCCTGTGAATTCCACTTCTGGATTTTGAATGGAGGACGTGTTGACCATTTGCCTTAAGCCTTCCATAACATACCACACTATCTAATATACCAACCTGTGATAGCTGTAATCTTAATTTTACAGTCAGAGATTTGCATCTGTTCATTTTGTGTGACTTGAGACTTTTCTTGTGAAGATTTTGTTAGCAAAAACCTCTGCATCTGAAACCTCTCCAGTTGAACTTTCCACAGCAAATTAAGTAAAATGTACGTGGATCCCAGGATTCAGTGAAGAGCCAGGGCGCGAAACACTAGATCCTTCTCTGCTTCACTTAGCTCTCCTTGTCCCCAAGGGAAGGAAGGGGGCATGTGGCTGAGGGACATGGATGGGGAGTCCATCATGTCTTTGCCAAGACACTCTAATTGGGTTGTTGGCACTTTAAACAGATGAACAGCACAACTTAGGGGAATGTGTTTTGCTTATAATTAAATTTTAATGTGATGACAAATGCTAATTATTCACTAGCATGTTTCCTAATGTTGCTAGCCTTGGAAAAATAGGTTAATTTTAAGCATCCGCAGGGGGAGCTCCACAGTCCCATGTCTTCATTTCCTGTTTGTCACATGTCTCTCCTCCAGAACTGAAGCAGATCACCTGGCTCAGTGCCATGGGGCTGCTGATGGTGGTCTTTGGAGAATGTCTGAGGAAAGCGGCGATGTTCACAGCTGGCTCCAATTTCAACCACGTGGTGCAGAATGAAAAATCAGAAACCCACACTCTGGTCACAAGCGGAGTGTACGCTTGGTTCCGGCATCCTTCCTATGTTGGGTGGTTTTACTGGAGTATTGGAACCCAGGTACAGTATCAGAAATGACAGTGGTTGCCTTTAATTTCTTTTACATTTTTAAAGATTGACATAACTCACATAGCATAAAATTCACCATTTCAAAGTGTACAATTCAGTGGATTTCAGTGGATTTATTAGGTTGTTGGTCTCCTTTAAATAGGTGCATGTGCCCCCTGTCGTGTTTTGAGTGAGAACAAAATAAAATGCAAAAGAACCCATGTAGTCCTTAACACTTTTTTTACTATGTACATAAAATCTGGGTGTCCTAAACTTGTGAACTCTTGGCGATTCTAGGTGCTCTTACCCCATCTGCTCTACCCCTTCCCTGCTTCTTTAACTTAGATCTGGAGCACCCCAGTGGGTGCTCTGAGGACAGAGATGGGGCTTTGGGAAGAGAGAGCCTTCTGCTGCTCAAGTGGATTCTGATTTTCATTCGAGGCTGCTGTTGATGAGGCAAAGGTCTAGATTGGATTTAACATGAGCTACAGAGGTTTATGCTGTCTCAGGTTGCAGACCAAGCCTTGTTTCCTGCCTATTGCCTCTTGAATATGTTCTCTTGGTCCTAGAAAGACTTGGCCAGAGAATGTGACCAGAGCTTAGGAGACTCCTCACCTCTTTGGGAAAATCCAGTCTGGGGCCCCCCAAGCATTCCATTGGCAATGTGTGGTCTGTTGGGGACTCTCTGGTGACCCCCAATGGTGTAGAAGGGTCAGGACAGTCCACATGGGACTTATTTTAATACTTGCATTTCTGAAACCTAAGACTCTCCTGCATCAACAATCCTGTTCCCTGAGAACAAGTTGACTGTAGTTGAATCATGTCATTTGCCATGAATGCTACCTACATACCGAAGTGCTCTAGAACTAGAGAGTTTGCCTACCTCTGTGACCATAGGTCTTTCTACGCTGTGGCCCAGCACACGCACACTTATAAAAATGGAACAGGTCTTTTCCAGGATAGTACTTACTGTGTACAAAATACTCTATTTCTTGTCTTACTTGGAGGATGCACGGAGTGGATTTCAGGACTCAGGAACAGGTTGTGGCCTGCCGTTGGGAAGCCCACTACAGGGTGTGTCATGAAGCCACACGTGTGTGGTGGCTTTGGGGGCACAAGCCCCGGGATCATCGACGGGGCCAGTCCTGGCTTTCACGCTGGCTGCTTGGCCTCTCTGCCCTCACACATTGCGAACAGCAGTGCCACCTCCGAGGTTTGCTGTGGGGGCTTATTGGTTGGAAAGGGCTTAGCTTGTGCTTGAAACACAGTTAAGTGCCCTGTAAGCAGTGATGGGAATAAGTCGAGGGCATGTGCCTGGCTCTCTGGGTGGAAGTCTTCCCCTTGGGGTAGACACGTGTCCATGGGGGTCCGTCAGAGCGGGCAGGGGTGGAGTGGTGGGTTTCCCACGCAGCACAGAAGTTCCTGAGAGCTGGGAGATGTTCTTGGCCTGGAGGGGTTGTTTGGCGGTAGATCAGTGGGGAAGATGTTCTCAAAGTGGAAAAAACACATGAGTAAGAAGGTGAGAGGCAGTCCAAGTGGGTACAGCCCTGAGGAAGGGGGCTGGAGGCAAGGCACTGCTTTTCTGGGTTTGGGCAGGGGAGTGGTTTGAAGACAAGTGATTTCACAGTAGCACTGTATGTGGTACAGGGCTAGGCCGTGGGGGCCAGGAGGGGGTGACGAGGCAGCTGCGAGGGTGTGTGTGTGTGTGTGTGGCCAGGAGGGGGTGACGAGGCAGCTGCGAGGGTGTGTGTGTGTGTGTGTG